AAGTAGAGCTTTCGTATGAAATCTTCACCAGCCGAAATGCCATAAAGCAAAGAAGCAATTACATTAATTTACATGGAAAAATTTTTGAGCATTCTCAGACCCAAAAAACAACCTCTCTTTTTTTAGGCTTTCCTGACACTTTAGGACATATCATCTTGCTAAGAGATACAAAAAATACATCAAGATAAAGCGCAGATGCTCACAAGACACCGCAGTTCAGAGGTATGGTGGTTGAGATGCTCAGTGTAGTTCCCAGGGAAGGAGCTCGGTGGGGTCACCCTCTCTGCTCTGGGTGCTTGCTGCCTCTGTAATGGCTCACTGCAAAACCAACGCGGAATGCCCTTTTCACTTAAAAAAATGTTTTTTTATGGAAGCGTAGCTGACATACAATATTATATTAGTTTTAGGTGTAAAACAGTGATTCAACGTTTATATGTAAAATGAAGTGATCACAATAAATCTAGCTACCACCTGTCACCACATGTAGTTGTTACAGTATTATTAACTGTATTCTCTCTGCTGTTCATTACATCCTTGTGACCTATTTTATAAATGGAAGTTTGTACCTTTTTTAAATCCCATTCTTCTCTTTTGCCCATCTCTCCACCCCCTCTCCTCTGGCAACCACTGAATTGCTCTGTGTATCTGTGAGTGTACCTGGGTGTCTTCTTTCATAAAAGTGCAAATCCTCTTCTGATTTCTTTTGGTTAGTGCAAACAGGTGCTATCGTAGGTCTCTTGTAAGAGCGAAGTGGCGTCATGCGAACTTTTGAAAAGTGGGGCATACTTGTGCATTTTTTTCTCCCTGCTCAGCTGTAAAAGTAAATTGCACATTGTAGGAATTTATAAAATACTTAAAACAGTGGAAGGAGTTTGATAGATGTCACCAATAAACTCATGTCTAAAGATGTTCACTATTAACACCTTGACTCTTTCGATGCATATTTATACGTACATATTTGAAAAAGTAGAAAGGATCATAATACCTACTTTGTTCTATAATCTTTTTTTCATCTAATATTCTTAATCATGACAGTATATATAGATCTCCGTACTCCTTTTATAAAATTTTCATTTTGAAATAATTGTAGATTCACATGCAGTAGATTTCTGTATACTCTTTACCTGGTTCTCCCAAAGGTGACATCTTCCCTAACTTTAGTAACAATGTCACAACCAGGACATCGGTCTTGGTGCAATCCATGGTTCTTACTCAGATTTTGGCAGTTTGACACGCACTCGTGTGTGTGTGTGTGTGTATGTGTGTTTATCCCTATGCTTTTTAAACAATCTTTTTTTTTTAAAGATTTTATTTATTTATTTGACAGAGACATAGAGCACAAGTAGGCAGAGCGGCAGGCAGAGGGAGGGAGAAGCAGACTCCCCGCTGAGCAGGGAATCCAATGTGGGACTTGATCGCAGGACCCTGGGATCATGACCTGAGCCGAAGGCAGACACTTAACTGACTGAGCCACCCAGGCACCCCTTAAACAGTCTTTTTAAACAGCCCTACTGTATATATGTATCATATTATTTTTACTGGGGAGAACATGGGTGGGCCATGTATTTGAATCTTGACTCTGCTCTTCACTGCTGCTGTGGCTGTGGGCAAGATATTTGAGCTCTCCCAGCCTGCTTACCCATTGTAAAGTCCGGATAATCACACTTAGGTCACATTATCCTTACAAGGATTACATGAGACAGTGTACCTGGGCACAGGTAGTAACTCACTAAATGTTGTTAACTCATCCTTAAGTTGGGTAGTATCATGTTCAGGCATAAAAATATAGTAGTTACTTTGGTTGGTTTTTCAAATTCTCTGTGAATGATGTTGTGCAAATAGCTTTTAGTTTGAGGAAACTCTCCATAGTGTCTCTTGATTGGGAATGGAAGATCATGCATGTGCCGGAGAAGGGCAACTAGATTTATTGGTCCTGCACTCCCGGACACGGGACTTTCGGTATCATGTTTCATCTTCACGACAGCCCCATGAAATAGAGATTTCACAGATGAGGAAGCTGAGCTGCAGAAAAGTTAACTCCTCCCAAGTCACATAGCTAGAACTGGGCTTTGAACCCTGGGCTCTGTGACTCTGTCTCTTTTAGACTCATCATGTTTATGCACTGTGGGGAACAGTGATTTGGCTCATACGATGTTTGGCCTTGAGTTTCTGTCTAGGGCTAATAGTGCCAAACGTTTGCCGCCTGTTTGTAAACCCCCCCGCCCCCCGACGACAGGAATTCAGAAATCAGGGTGTTGTGCAGAAAAAGGTACAAACCTTTCTGAAGGGTCTCAGAGGGCCATTTAAGGAAAATTGAACATGGAAAGTATCTTTATGGTGTGAGTATGAATTTGAACTTTTTAAAAGAGGCTCTGTCATCGTTATTTTGCGCGATAACCCGCAGAACGTTCATCACTTTATGATAACTATTATTTTAATCGTCACCATGGCTGGCCTGTGTTTAACAGGCTCCTAATTGGTGTTCCTGTTTCTAGCCTTCCCCTCCTTGAATTCAGTCTTCTTATTTTATTTTATTTTTTTTTAAAGATTTTATTTATTTGACAGAGAGAGACACAGTGAGAGAGGGAACACAAGCAGGGGGAGTGGGAGAGGGAGAAGCGGGCTTCCCGTGGAGCAGGGAACCCGATGCGGGGCTCCATCCCAGGACCCTGGGATCATGACCTGAGCCGAAGGCAGACGCTTAACGACTGAGCCACCCAGGCACCCCCAGTCTTCTTATTTTAATTCTTGCTAGTTTATTGGTGTTAATTGGGATCGTCCCTGGAATGGGCGCGGCAGTGTAGTGCTGTGGAGAGAGTCCCACATTTAATCACTTATGGTCTGATGACAGGTTCATCACCTAATGGTTCTGAGCCTCAGTTGCAGTAGTGTGTAGGGTTGATATGAGAAGTGGAGATACAATGTGTGCAAAAGCGCCTGGTTTAGCTCCTCGTATGTAATCAGTGCTCAATAAAACATAACTGTGAAAATGGCTCAAGATGAGCATTTTTCCTATCATTGTTCATCTTCTTTTGTTTTTTGAGCTTATTTAAATAAGCAATGCCCCAGATATATACATATATGTATATATATATATATATAAAAAATTTTTTTTTTTTTTAGGCCTCGTGATTTAGGGGTGCCTGGGTGGCTCAGTCGGTTAAGCATCTGCCTTCAGCTCAGGTCATGGTCCCTGCGTCCTGAGGTCAAGCCCCTCGTCCTCTGGCTCCCTGCTCAGTGGGGAGCATGTTTCTCCTTCTCCCTCTGCCCCTTCCTCCGCTTATATACTTTCTCTCGTGTGTGCTCTCTCTCTCTCTCACATGCGCTCTCTTTCTCTCAAATAAATAAAATCTTTAAAAATTTTTTTGATTTTAAAGGAAGGTGAAACAGAAGCTTCTATAAACCCCACTTTGAAATGTGAATGGGGTTCCCCCTCAGTCCCTGTTGCTAGGACCTAAATAGCAATGGGGAAACATGGGATGGCTGGGCCTCACCTCTCCCGGATTAACTGTGGCCATAGCCCACCTCTCCTAACAACTAGGATTTAACTAGCATTGGTGGTGGAGCTGGATCTCCTGGAAAGGCCGAGAAGCTGGAGCCAGTCCCTTTACCCCATAGTCTGAGTTGTGGCCTTGACAGCTCACGTGTCCCTTGCTGTTGAGTTTTTCATCATGAGCCTTTGTCTAATCCAAAGAACAGATGTAAAAAAAAAAGGTTTATTTTCTCCTGATTATAAGTAATATATATGTTACAAATTTCCTTTTTGGGAGACTAGAAAGAAGGAAAAAAGGGGCATCAGGAGATCATCCAGCCACCACGCTGTTAACATTTTGATGTTTTTCTTTCTCAGCTTTCTCCTATGCATAGATTTTACTTTTTAGCTCATTCACAATTTAATCTTCTATTTTTTCATATCATGTTGTGACTTGGAATATCCCCATGTTATTGGTTTAGGTTCTTAGTTTTTCCTGTTAGAGTAAATCTGTGATGGATGACTGTGTATGTAAGGCCTTCCCCCCCTGTATTTTGGATTCCTCCCCTGAGATTGAATCCTGGGAGCCAAATCATTGGGATGAGTGTGAATACGTCTATCCTGTACACACACACTTGATGTATATAATCTGTCCATAGAGAGTTACATTAATTTACATTCCTGCCAGTGTATTTCTTGGCTTCTGGATGCTTGGTCAGCTCTTGAAAAGTTAGTATTAATTGTGTTGCTTCATAGTAAGTTTGCCAGCACTGGATATTCTCATTAATACCTTCTTGTTAAATGAAAGCTTGTTTTAATTTGCTCTTTTTGATTATTGGTGAGTTACAGTATTTTTTCAAATGCTTGATAATCACATATGTATTTTCTACTAAATTGTGTGTTAATGAAGTATGAATGTTCTCGAGAGAACTAACCCTTGGACTCTGCTGAATTTACAGCTGCTCGTGGTGGTCATGGGGCTGCCATGCTGACCATTTCTGCTTCTCCAGATGACTTTGGGTCCGAGCTCCTCTAACCTCCATGAGCATTGCCCGTGCTTGAGTCCGCCTCTGCTTGTCAGATGGTGCTCTTCATGTTCTACCTTTTATAAATAACTTGATGAAGTTTTTCTTTTTTAAACCATTACAAAAGTAAAATGCTTGGTAACCTTAGAACATTTGAAAGAAGTGAAGGAAGAAAATCACCCATGTACCCACCCAACTAAAGACAGTTTCTGACGTTCTTTGCTTTTATTGAAGTCTTTAAAAAAAGAAAAAAACTTCTTTTACACAGTTGTAGCCTTTTCCCCTCTTAATATCAACATCGTAACATAATCATCACTGTGTTATTTCAGAATCTTCGTATTATTTGTGCTTTGGGTCCTGGAGGTTGTTTATGTTAATCTTCCTTTTTTCATTCCTTAACTCCCTTCCCCCCACCCCCAAGGTGAAAAAGGAGCCCAGATTTCTTGGTCTGTTTAGTGTGCTACAGAAATCAGCTCATCTCCCCTGCCTCCCTCCTCTTGTAGGGGTCCGAAGATTATGAGGCTGCTCTCTTAGAGAAGGCAGCCCTTTTAGCACAGCTGAACTCTGAAAACCTCAACAAGAGTGCAGAGAACCACAGACTGCGTAGGAACATTAAGAAGGTGACCCAGGAGCTGAGCGCCCTGCAGCAGGAGAGGGAGAGGCTGGAGAGGGACGTGGAGGAAGCCCACCGCCAGAAGAGCAGACGCGACCACACCATCCACGTGAGCAGCGGTGGCGTGCGTGGTCGGGTGGGGGCTCTTGACGGCTCCTCTGGCTTTAGGGAGGCCTTCTCTGCGGGAGACTTAGAAAAATCTGAAAAACTGAAAGAAAACATTTCACTCATCATCTCATCATCTTGAAATTATCTCTTTTGTCTCGCATGTGCGTGCACCCACCCACACACCCACCCTCACCCACCTACACACCCACCCGCACCCACCCACACACCCACGCACACCCACACTCACACCCACCCACACCCACCTGCACCCCCCACACCCACACCCACCCACACACGCACCCACACCCCCAAACCCCCCCCCCCACTCACACCCAAGCACACCCACCCCACCCCCACCCACACCCACACACACACATTATTGGTATCAAGCTGGAAATGCGGTTTGGTATCTTTATTAATTCAATGTTCCCTTTTTGGTGTGTTGCCGTGTTATGAGTGTTCTTCAGAAACATGTTTTTGTTTGTTTTTTGGTGCAAGTGTAGTATTTTGTCACTTGGATGTGCTACAGTTTATTTAGTCCCTTATGGTAGAATATTCAGGTTGTTACACTTTTTTTTTTTTGCCTTACAACAAATGCGATAGCAAATGTCCTTGTATCTAAATATTTTCCCATTGATTATTTCCTGATAGAGGCATAATTATTGGGTCAAAGAGTATGAATGTTTTTCACATTATTATATAGATACACTCAAATTGTTTCCCAGAATGATTATACCAGGTTTCTCTTTATGAGAATGGTCCTTTTTTAAAGACTATTTATTCAGCATTGGATGTTAGCATTTAAAAAATTCCCTCTGGATTTGGTAGGCAAAAAATAGTTTATCTTTAAAAATTTCTATTATAGGGGCACCTGGGTGGCTCAGTCAGTTAAGTATCCAACTCTTTATTTTTTAATTTTTTATTTTTACAAGATTTTATTTGTTTGTTTATTTACTTAGAGTGAGTGGGGGAAGGGGGAGAGGGAGAGAGCTGAAATCAAGAGTTGGTTCCTTAACCGACTAAGCCACCCAGGTGCTCCAAGTGTCTAACTCTTGATTTTGGCTCAGGTCATGATCTCAGGGTCCTGCGATTAAGCCCTGCTTCAGACTCTGTGCTCAGCAGGGAGTCTGCTTGAGGGTTTTCTCTCTCCCTCTCTGTCTGCCCCTCCCTCTGCTCATTCTCTCTTTCTCTCTCTCTCTCAAATAAATAAATTTTTAAAAAAATTTTTTTTCTCTTACATTTAAACAAGTCCTGGGCAGGCAGAGGACCTCAGGCAGACAGAGTCATTAGAACAGAGGTCTCAAAGGGAGCCTCCAGGTACTACGGTTTAGTTCTCCAGTGGCTGCTGTGGGCAGGGGTGTCAGGATCCACTGCTTGAAATCCGAACCCTAACACTGATGCGAGAATTGAAATACACGTTTGTATATTTTAACAAAAATATTAATGACCATCAAGGGAATGCTAATGGAAATTTAGAAAACTAAAACATCATCTACCGTTCCACCGCCCTAACACAATAACTCTTTCTGGTTTTCCGTGTTCTTTGACCCCTTACTTTATTGTGGGCATCTTTCCATGTTGTGTGGCCTCCAGAATGATCATGTTGAATGGTGCGTGCTCTTCACTGAATACATGTCACATGCTTTACTTAACTTTCTGCTCTCTCGGACACCTTGGTTGTTTAAATGATGCCATGATAACATCTTTGGGCATAAAGGCAGTTTCCCTTGAATTTCCTAGGATTTGAGTGAGTTTACTAGGTCAGATGGCACAAATATTTTATACTAGTTAATCATGTTGCCAAATTATTTGCCCAAAGGGCTGGCCCAATATATGCTGCCACCCGTGATCTTGGATTGTAGCAGTTTACTGTGTGTTATTACAGTATCTTTCCCATATGTTAGTGAACACCCAAGTGTGCCTGGTTTAGATGTTGATGGAAGTATAAGATGGGACCTCTGAAAGTTCCATCTTTTCTAAGGGCGATGGAGATGTTAACACATGACGAAGCAGCCTAAAATCTATAGAGTCAGTGCAAAAGATCCTTGTGGAATGGAGTAGTTGGGAAGCCTTCTAGGAGGAGGTGACACTTGAGTTGAGTGAGAAAAATAAGGTTTGAGTAGTGTGCTGTATGGAGGAGATGAAAAGACTGGCCAGATGGTCTTTGGATAGAGATGCAGTTTTCATAGTCAGTTCTTACTCCCTTACTGCTGGATAACTTCCTCTTAATTTAAAATAGCTCATCCCAAGAATACCTGATTTGTAGTATTCGAATACCTGATTTGTAGTATTCTAAAGTATTATTTGGAGCTTTAAAAATAAATGCTGGCTAATTGAACATAATAATAAAAAATAAATAAAATACAGGAAAAAAATGAATAAAAATTGTAATTTATTCCTTTTGTTGTTTCAGAAACATTTTCAGAGGTTTATGGGAAGTCATAAAAATGAGATTAAATATAAAGGTGAAAGCATTCAGGTCAAGGAACAAAAAGGGTGGCTAGTGAATTGGAAGCAGAGTGAGTAAGGTGAAATGCACACTGTGGTACCTGACCCAGTACCAAAGATGGGGACTTAAGTTCAGCTGGTGGCTCCTGGCAGCGAAAGTAAAAAGGGAAATTCAGTTACACGGTCTCCAGTGTCTGAAGATGAACAGGTTAAGGTAAAAGGACAGCTCTGGCCAGCACCCCAGCCCAAGGGCAGTATTGCCTCTGGTGGGCTGCTGGAGGGTTCTAGAAGCAGGACAGAGCCTTTGACGGTACCACCTGCAATGAGAGCAGAGTGGCGGCCCCATCCGTGCCACCCAAGTCCGTGAGCTTGTAAGGAGTACGGTTTCCAGTCCCTGGAACAGTGTTTGGCTGTTTCCTGTTGTTCTTGTTTCTTGGACAAGAACTACCACCTCAGAAATGTTGCAGCCCCATTTATAGATGAGCCCTGACCCCGAGCCTTTGCGGGGGGCTGCCGTCCAGCATGCTGGTTGTTGTTGTTTTAGCAGTCCCTGGATTCTTTCTGATGGTCAGCCGGCTGGTTATCTTTTGGGTGTGATCAAACCATCCTTTGCTCATGCCAGAGAGCCTTCTTGCCCGGTCATTGTGCTTGCTCCTAAGCTTTCCGGAGGGAGACCGTGCCTATGTGAGCGGGCATCTTGCGGCTGGGTCGTGTGCATCCACCGTGTCAGATGGTGCCCAGGCCCTGCGAGGGTTGGCCATGAGGGTCTGGTGGTCATGTTCATTCGCATTGCCTGCGATTGCAGCGGCCTAGTACCAGCTGACTCAGTACGTGGTATCAGTTGTTCATTTTGTTTATCCGAGGGACGCTCATGGAGTACTTGCAGTGGTGTAGGCACTGCCGGTAGGCCCTGGTGAAAACAAGCTTTGGTTTTTACTTGGGAGGTCTTTCTAAAACCAGAAACCAACAACAAACCTCGTATTCCCAAGTCGGTGTCTTAACTGTGATGTTGAAGGTGTCCTGGTTTGTGTGGTTTATGACAGGAATGCTGCTCGGACTGTCACATCCTTGCCCTCACACTGGATTTTTGATACATTGTTTGGCTCGAGAGACTTAAGGCTCTCCTTTTAGTATGTATGTATGTGTGCATGTGCATGTGTGCTGTGTGCTGTGTGTGTGTGTGTGTGTGTGTGTGTGTTTGGTGGAAAGTGGTAGAGAGAGGTAAACCTTTATTTTAGATTTGCTCTTTCTGGTTCAGGCGTTCTATATGCTCCTCAGGGTGGGTGGGGGATAGGAGCAAGCGCTAGTCTTTTTCTTCTTTATAAGCAGCGTATATGAGACATTGGTTTAGCTGTATTCCCCAGACTGTCTCATAATGCTCTCATCTGTTACGAGACCTGTCATCTGCTACTCTGACAAGTATGTGCTTCGGTACCTGGGCACTTAGCTCTGTGGGGATGCATTTGCTGGCTCAAGCCCAAAAATCTAATTAAAGTTGTACCCATCACCCAGCTGGCTAATCCCATGTGCTTTGACGGGAGCAGGTTTAATTTCAGGGTAGTTCATCCTGAACCCCTCTGGTTTCACATGTGTTTGTTGATGGATAGCTCCAGATGAGAATATGACAGCGTTCAGAGCATCTCTTGTGATCTGTAGTCAAAACATAGCATTTGGAGACAGTGTCTGTAGGCTGGTTGGGTAGGCCTAGGACCACAGACCTGAAATGGTGTGCTTCTTACCAAGGGTCAGGGCTCCCTGTGCCTTGTTTTTGTTTTAATCAGGTATGAAGAGTCTGAGTTGGAGTCCTTGTAGACTAATATGCAGTTTAAATGATATTTGCTGGCAGAAGTTCTATCTTTGTAATTTCCAGTCACTCTTAAGAGAGGCTGAGTGCAGAGATTCGGGTCAGACTGGTTTTGAGTCCTGGCTCTGTCACTGGCTAGCTGTTGGACTATGAGCCAGTAGCTTTGCCTCTCCAAACTCTGGTCTTGTTTTTTGTTAGAAAAACAGCTTAGTTGTAGGGATTATCTGAGATGGGGATAGCAATTATGAACATAATACCTGGCACATCTTAACTGATCCATGAGTAGTTGCTGTTTTGATGATGGTGATGCCCTGGGAAGGAGAAACTGGGCAGTTTGAGCTGGTGTCTTTGGAGCAGTGGGCAACAGTGCCAGACTTGGGTTTGAATCTTGGCTTTAGCAGGCACTCAACTCTAAGCCTCTAGGTCAGTGGCTTAACCCCTCTAAACTAAGGTTTTCTCCCCTTCACTGGGGTTGATTATACCTACTTTAGGAGAAATGAATGAATAATAAAATTTAATGCACAAGAAAGCACCTCCTCTGGTTCCTGGCACATAGAGGTGGATGCTTAGTGGTTTGGACTCCTCTTCTTTCTTCCTCTCCTGCTTTTAATTGCGTGGCGGGTGCTGGCTCGGGACTTGGAATGACAAACCACTGCTCGCTAGAATCTAATGGACACTGTTGACTAATAAATGTGGTCTGCCCAGTTACCAGCCAAGTCAACAAAGCTGTAAATTTCTTCCTTGATCAA